ACTGGGAGCTAGTCCCTGGCCACCGGGGCAGCAGCACCTGGCACAAGCCACGTTCGAAGGGCAGCCAGCGACTCGCTCTGCGGAAGCTGCTCTCTCTGCATCAAGAAAACAGAGCCTGCCGGGGAGCAACAGCAAAACAACTGCTGCCCCGTTCCCTGGAGATGACGGCTCGGCGAGGAGCTGCCAGGGAGACTGCTATTAGCCCCAGCGCGGCAGCTCAACCCCCGGGCGCTTGCAGATTGATCAGCCTGGGAGTCAGGACGTCAGCAGCCACAGGCTCCCTGGAGTTCAGCTCCCCAAGGCACTATGGGAGGGAGAGCCCCCCTCCACCTGGGGCCCAGGTGCATCTTTTCCAGCTAATGCCGTCTGAGTGACTGGGGCCGGGGGTTCGCCCAGAGGCAGCTCTTCAGGCAGGCCCGAGAATGTAGGGCTCAAAGAGGGTCATTTAAACAGAAGCTGAGATGGTGCCAAGGCCTGGGTGAGCTGCATTTCCCCAAGAGGGTCCCTGTAATCTCAATGCCCCGGCACCAAGCCTTGTTCGAGGGGGGCTAGGGCTGCACGGCAGTGCCCCGCACCCTCCACAACACGGGGCTGGCAGCCCAAGCCTGGCACCCCTGGGAGGCAGGAAATACACGTGACAAACCAGGATGTAAAGGTTAGAAAGCCAGGACGTGCCTCCCCCGCCCCCATCCTTCACTCTGCGCCCTTTGAGCAAAACCTAAACCTCTGCAAAAGAGGAAAGGCAGGGCCAAGGGACTGGCTCCCGCAACGCCCTGCCCCCCAAACATACAGGGGTATCTCTGGGGCTGGGGATCTCTCTGGGGCTGGGATGCAGGGACAATCAGTGTAGGGTTACCATATCTCATAAATAAAAAAAGAGGACCCTCCACGGGCCCTGGCCCCGCCCATTTCACCACCCCTAGCCCCGCCCCAACTCTGCCCCTTCCCTGCCCTAACTCCGCCCCCTCCTCCCTCCCACTCCCAGCCAGGGGGAAAGGGCTGCCCCAGCGCTACCGGCTTCAGGATTTGCCGGGCAGCCCCCAGACCCTGTGCCCCCAGCCGGCGCTTCCCCAGCGCAGCTGGAGCCCGGGAGGGGAAGTCCCCAGCCTGGGGCGCAGGGTCTGGAGGCTGCCCGGCAAACCGTGAAGCTGGTAGCGCTCGGGCTTCGGGCAGCCCCTATGCCTCCGGACCCTGCGCCCCCGGCCGGGCACTTCCCCTCCCGGGCTTCGGTGGCGCAGGGTCCGGAGGTATGAGGGCTGCCCAAAGCCCGTAGCGCTCGGCTCTTAAA